CGCCAAGAAATTCCCCACAGCGCCGAAACGGTACAAGATAGAGCAAAACGGACGAAATTTTTGCCCAGAGGGCTATACTTTGACGAGTTACCCCTTAGGAACCGATAAAAAAATATTTGAAAAAAATACATTTTGCAACCTGCGGTTTTCGATTTTTTTAAAAGTCAATTTTTGAGCTAGAATGCTCATCTTCGAACTCGATCTGTCTTTTTAAAACGACCCTACAATTCCCAGATCGCTATCTCAATTCATTCTCGAGTTATCGTGCGGACAGACAGACAAACAAACAAACAAACACACACACAAACACACAAACAAACAGACTGAAACTTTTCGGGTCAGTGGAGTAATGGGCTTCGCTAATCGCTCAGGCAAAAATCATTTGTTGGTCACTACCTTCTCGGCTTGTACCTGTTCACGATTATGTGCGTGACAATGCACCTTCTCCTTCAGGACCTCCACGGCCCCGTGGTGGTAGCGAGTGATAGCGGTGGCCTTGCACTCTTTCTTTCTTGAGCAGGACCAGAGGGTGTTTTCTTTCTGTCACGGCGGTAGTAGATAAAACCCTTACGTCGAAGTTTCTTCCCCCAATTCCGTGAAACTATCATTTCTGCCGCTTCCTTCCTTCCCGCCCGCCGATGATGAAAAGGTACTGCCAACCCCCAAAATTAGACATTGGGAAATTCGAATTGGGAATTTATTATTGGGAGAATATCGCTTGAGAAAAAATGTGCATTGGAAAAATTAAATTTGGGACTTTGATTTTGGGAATTTAGTTTTTAGAAAAATGGGCGGGAACGCATCTGAGGGTGTGTGGGGTTGTGATAGGTGTGCTACGCCAAAACATAATTTGCACATAATTTACAATTACAAGGTAGATGTACGCCAGACCACGTCTCGCGTAACAGGCTTCGCGATACCTCACGAAACACTGTTACGCTGCGACGCGCCTGGCATGCATCTAACTTGGCCTGCGGCGCTGACACCCGAGTCAGGTGGTGCCAAAATGTGCACAAAGATACGGGCCTCCGGCCCGTCAACGCCCGTTACTTCGACTAATCATGCAGAGTTGTACATTTTTTCGCTTATTTTCGTCAAAACACCCTCTAGCGCCTCGACGGTTCAAGCTAGAGCAAAACGGACAAAATTTTCGCCCATAGGGCTCTACTTTGATGAGTTACCCCTTAGGAAACCATAAATAAATATTTTTAAAAAACGTCATTTTTGGGAACTGTTGTTTTCGATTTTTTAAAAATCCAATTTTTGAGCTAGAATGCTCATCTTCGAACTCGATCTGTCTTTTTATGATACAAAACGACCCTGAAAATCCCAGGTCGCTCGCTCAATAGGGTGTTCCAGGCAATCTAAAACGGAAGTAGGAAAAGAACAAACTCACTGACCCCTCTGTTTCCGTAATGGCTCTGGTTGGTCGAGCTAATCACGTGCCTCCGGGGCCTTTCAGGTATGAG